TATGCTACGTACCACCATAAATGGCATTTACCTACCAGAGCCATTTCTTCCCTTGTGATTCTCTAATTCAAGACGCTCCCCTAACATAAAGAATTAGTAATCAGCACCAACCCATTTTCCTTTTTTTCTTTTGTGTTAATGCTAGGTTAACAGGGAAACATGCCAAAAGGATAGAATTAAAAATCCAGAGTCCCACAGTACCAGTATGGCCCATTTAAAGGGAGGCCTGGGGTAACAGAAAAAGTCTCTATAGATTTGTGTTACATAGGCAATAAAACATATACCTTTGTAGTATGCCAACATTTAATCAATCATACAAGCTATTTGTTGCCTCATATATTACAAAGCAATAGAGATTTAAGGGATAATGTTCATGGAGGCACAGGATACGAAGCAATAAACAGCACTGGAGGTTGGTTAAATGCCAAGTGAAGCCAGGACTACAGCACCATAAACATTATTCCTATTATATGACAAGATAAGGAGGTACATGAAGCTGCCCTCAATCCCACCACAACTAGGGCTCTACTGCTATTCTTGGCCTTAGAAAGGGAAAGCAGGCCCTGGAGGTCTTCGAGCTAGTTATGTGTTTCAGGTCTCAGTTAGATATGAACAGAGCCTCAATCTGTACCTAAATGTCCTCCAGGAGAAGAAAAGATCTGGTAGTAGACACCCTTAGGGGAAAAAAATAACAGCCTCTCAGGTCACACTGGACAGAGAAACAATCAAAAGATTTTTCCTTAAAAGGACAGTTGATAATGACAGAAATCTTTCTAAGTGACTAATAATGGGACGATACTGTCCATTGGAAGTATCTCCTCAGAGGAAATGTGTTCCTATTCTTAAGGAAATAGACATTATAAGTAATAAGCTTATATGATCAGCTTCTGCTCAAAGGCTTGGTTATGGTAACCAGAAGGACTACTTCAATCTGCATAATTTGTACTGCAAAACAGTGTCAAGTTCCAGAGAGGGAGGTATAGGAATACGGTATTTGTTGACTCCTAGTAATAAAAACCTGTCAAAAAGCATCTAAAAGATAACTTATCTAACTGCATTTACAAATTCAAGATTACTGTCAAAAACCTAGTACAGCTGACCCTTTAACACGGGTGTGAACTGGGCAGGTCTGCTTGATACATATAGTACAGTACTGTAAATTCTTTCTTCCTTACGATTTCCCTAATAGCATTTTCTTTTCTCTGCTTCCTCCATTGTGCAAATACAGTATATAGTACATATAACATACAAACTATGAGTTAATCAACCATTTATGTTATCAGTAAGGCTTTACGTCAATAGTAAGCTATAAGTAGTTAAGTTTTTTGGGGGGGTCAAAAGTTCTGTGCAGGTTTTCAACGTCCTGTGGGTGCTCCTAACCCCTGCATTGTTCAAGGGTCAACTGCAATTGTTCCTGCTTGCACATACAATAGAACAGTTTTGCAATCTACCTTTAAATAAATTGTCTCCCAAAGCCTCAAAAACTTAAAAGACTGAGGCACCTGAGTGGCTCAGGTCATGATCTCTCAGTCTGTGAGTTTGAGCCCAGCATCAGGCTCTGTGCTGACAGCTCAGACCCTAGAGCCTGCTTTGAGCTCTGTATCTCTCTCTCTCTCTCTCTGCCCCTCCCCCACTCGTACTGTTTTTCTCTCTCTCTAAAATGAATAAATATTAAAAACAAATTTTTAAAAAAGAACTTAAAAGACTACACAAATTCAGCACCAAACCTAACTTCCATTATTTTAGTAACACAGAAGCAAAGCCATCTTATAGTCACAATGGTTTTAATGAGATGCTATCTTATAAACATTCAAAAACCCAAACCACTCAAATTCAACCAACCCTTTAACAGGGTATCTGGGGTACTGTTGCCTTAACAACACTAGCCCATTCTCTGGAGGCAGCTCTATTAACTACTCCTGCTACCATATTCCATAGAGAGGTATTAGCAAGAATATTGGTTTCCCTAAGTTCCTCTTCATGAGAGTGATGAGGCCTCGAGAGAAACATGGTCTCAACAGGAGTAAAGGGATGAGAGGGCTCAAAACACCCTATCATCTGTCTTTTCAGATAAGAATGCAGAGAACACAACCTTCAGCAGCCATGTTTTTTTTTTAAAAAGTACATGCAGCATATTTAGAATTCAGCTGTGTCACATCAGACTTACTGTTGGGAAGTGGATCATGAACAGAATCCAAAAATAACAGCCATTAAAGACCTAGCAACCAAAACATGTTTACGTATCCATTGAAAGCCCGGTGGTTTTGATTATATGGTGGAGAGCATAATCCACTAGTCTATTTTAGGTGAATTTTCCTTTCACCTTCCCTTAACATTAAGGCATAAGATGATTTCTGAGTTTAGGGTACATCGGGTAAAGTTCGGGCAGAGAACAGATACTGAAATCATGCAAGATTCACATAGCTCTTGTCTGCTGGTTGGTTTTTTAAGGATCGGTCTCTTGAATTATAATTTGCTTTCATTCCTTCTTCCTCTAAGTGGTAGAAGCCACTGATTTTTGAGGCTTCTATGGGAGTTAGTTCTAAACCATGTCTTGTAAAAATTATCATGGTCCTTATTGCCAATCCTGGAATTTATGTAGTCTTTTTTTTTTAATTATTATTCTACCATTTCTGGAATTAAAAAATTGAATCAATGACAGTGGATTATAAATAGCTTGAAGGCCTCAAAGTGGCTCCAAGATGAAACCATTTTTAAGGGATATAAGGAAGTTGGATAACAGGCCAAGGGTAGTTTGCTTTTCCAAATTTATCTTCCCTGCCAGATTTCCACTATTTCATATAATAGAAAGCAACCACAGTAAAGTAAGTCTTGCAGATATCCTACTCTAGAGTTAAATTTTACTTAGATATTGGGAGAAACTTGGAAGAAGACTAAATATAACTAAAGAACTACAATTTTACTTGATCATAAAGTTCTGACATGCAAAGGAGGTAAAAGGATGAATCACATTACCTTCAAAGACTTAAGCCGTAGTTTTCTATCCTTTTCTATGAAACAAGTAACTCGAATCCAAAAGAAGATACTCATCTCCCTGAGTACCATGTTCACTGAAGGGGAAAAAACCCTTCGGGACTTATACTAGAGGCTATAATGAGTCCTAACAACCAAAATACCAGCAGACAGTTCAGAAATGAGGAAGAATAGGGGAAGGAAAAGGCTTACAATAAACTGTACTCAACAATACAAACGGAACCGAAGTAAAAAGTCCTACTGTTTTTACTATCTCTAGCCCAAAAAGTGCAAAACAAAAAGAGACAAACACAAAACCCTTTGGGACCTCACAAATTTCAGTGAAAACTACTCTTTTCTGATAGACAGTCTAAAGAAACCTATTTAAAAATAAAATAAAATAAAATAAAATAAAATAAAATAAAATAAAATAAAATAAAAAGAAACCTATTTAAACCTTCTTTCTTCAGAGAGCTCGAGATGATTTTCCATTTTAATTTCTTTAAGTCTTTGTCCAGGTAGTTTTCAGCATACAACATATAATAGGGGCACTGAGTAGCTTAAACCATAAATGAAGAAAAATAAATGTAAGTATGAGAAAAATAAATCTTTTCACCAAAAATGCATATTTTTAAAGCAAGGTAAGTGAAAAGGGTGCTAGGTATCAATTAGGGAAATCACAGTAACTACTGTTATCAACACATACACACCCCAAAATTTGAAGGGATCAAGTTAAGATATACATATATTCTAACACAGCTGTCTGAAAAGTGAAACAAATTTACCCATTTCTCAGGTGGCTTCTATTGTAAAAGAATAAAACATAAATCACATTGGGAGAAACATCCAGTCAACCAAAGTTGAAAACTCTGACAAGGAAGGAAATATACCCTATGATGCTGAATACTTCAGAATATGATGGCTTTTTTAGTCTTCTCAGAAATTTTCAGCATTTACTGGAATATGGAATCACCCTTCTGCCCATTCCTTGTCACCACCCCCATCCCATTCACCTCTCAAATTCCAATTCCTAGGAATCTCCGGAACTTAACTCTCTCCTTTTTGTCTAGGCATTTACAATGTTTAATAGAACTAGTCTGCAATCTCACATACCACCAGTAAGTGTCACTGGGCAGTCACATGGCATATTCCTAACTGAACAGAAATTCAACCCTTCGGGTTTCATAAAATCAATTCATGAAGGCAGATAAAACTTTCTTTGTATTACTTTCTTCATCCTTTGTGGAACATGGCAGGATAGGGAAGGGTCTAGGAAGAAGAGTTAAGAAGGTGCAAAATGGGGAGGAAAAAAAAAAAGCAACTTGAACAAAATTACTTTATTAAAAAAAGCATATAATGAAAAATATCTGACACAAAATGTACACATATGCAAGTAATAACATGGCAGCTGACACACAGAACAAGGCATTTCATGGCGTAACAGACGGAAAATGGCTGAGAAATCTCGTAGTTTATATAATGCCGTGAGATCTCAGGTTCTACACCGGATTTGCCTTTCCTGCATAGACAGATATCTGCCTTAGCTACCAGCAATGATTTTCTGGATCAACAGTCAAAAGAAACTTTTTTTTTTCTTATTTAAAAAATCCAACAGACTCCAGCAAATTACGTTTCACGATGAACGGGTAACATTCTCCACTGCCTATTCTAAATATGTTAAGGAGACTTTTATATCCATTGAAGGCTGAGGCAAAGATATTTCTAAACTTGTTTTGTATTTAGATGGATAGCTTTATAAAGGAAGAGAGAGCAACATGTATTCCTCAACACTGTGTGTCGGGAAACAAACACCAGCAGAATAACAATATGAAAGAGAGCAAGGCAGATTTCATTACGGCAGAGTGCCTACACTTCCTCATAACATGGATTTACACACTGCAAATCCTCTGATCTGATTACCTCCAGTGATCACGTAAAATACCGGCTTTAAACTCTTTGCCTTAGTGATAAAACAGCCACTTTGATTCACAACGAGACATTCACAATAAAGTATATTGTAAACGTACCTGTCCACAGCCCGGGGCATTGCACACAAACGGTCTGTCGTCTCCCATATTTCATATAGCAGAGCGGAGCTGAGGAGGGGGAGGCAGGGGGGAAAAGTTATGTTAAATACGCTGGAGTTAAAAAAAAGTGCTTCAAAAATATCAAGCCTAGAAACAGGTGTTCCAAGAATGCTGTCTATCAAAGCTATAAACACAGGCTACTTTGGGGAGACCCATTAGACAGGTGGCATATGATCTACCGCGCCCCAACTGAAACTTTTAATTAGAAAAATTTAGACCTCAATAGTCAAGGAATTTCAGACGTTTTACTAGTTTTTCCCCTCTTTCTGCTACAGTATATAACACGCTCCTCTAGTCTACTGAATTACAACCAGTGCGGTTCCCTATGTCAATAAATCCACAGAACATTCGATGCGGAAGCCATATTTCTGAACTAGAGAAGACCAAAATTTGTCATTTAATTAATTAAGGGATTATAGGAGGGGTGCTCCATTTTACAGGGCTATAATCTGGCTCCCTGGTGTATAAACTACGAGACTGTTGGCAAGGGCCGTTTATCCCAGATTATTGCCAAAGAAAACAAAGCACCCATCCTATTGGGCTACACGGGAAATGATTTTCATTAATAAAAAAATAAAAATAAAAACCTTCTCTCCCCACTGGGAGCCTCCTTCTCCCCCCACCAACCGTCTGTGGCAAATGGAGAAATATCGGTGCCCTTCCCCCTCTAATTCTATTTATGGCTAGGTTTTTAAAAGCAGCAATAAAACAAATGTCGACTCTTTGGGGGTTTACTGGGTGAATGTGTTCCGGCTGTTTGTGCTGCTCTCGGCCAGAGTTCTTGGGCTGCTCTGTTGCACCCAACAGATGTATGCTGCTGCAGGGGATAAAAGAAATGGCACTAAAAGGCATCACCATCCATCCTCTCTATTTCTCTGAAGAATTTAACAGGGCTTCCACTGTTGTTGTTTTTTAATTATTGAAGCTAAACTCTTGAAATGTTGATCGACATTCTTTGTCAAAGAACAGTAATTCTAATCTGAATGTGTTGGGGGAAATTTCTCTTTCCCAACCAGGAATAAAAACAGAGGTGGAGATGGACAGGACGAGAACTGCAAATCATAGGAAAAATATTCCGAAAAGACAAGCAGTGTTTTGAAGGGGTGGGGGAAGGGCACAAAAATAGTCTTCAAAGAATAAACTCCTAAAGGACATTTTTGAACATCCTCCTACAGGAAAGAAAGGTGTATAAAAGAACATTAACAAGGGAAGATGAAAGAGGAAGACCTATAATTTGAATATGCCTAGAAACAACATCCGAACTGTAACCAAATTCAAATTTTTATCTTGGAGATAAACCAAAGGTCAGAGTTAACCTCACTCAGGTCTCCATTAAAATAAACGTTAAAATGCTAGACTGAATTTGGTAATCAGAAAACCATGTTTAAAACTCAGAGGGTAGCTAGGTAACATCTCTCCTACTCTCTCAAGACTCACTCTAGGGTTGGAAACCAGTATTTCTGGTAGTCTGATCAGTAATTCCACAACTAATCAGTGTTCAAAATTGTGGGGTGCCCCATAAAATAGAAAGGGCTTCTTTAGTCATCTTTCAGTGTGATAGGTACAGGGTCTAACTATGAAGGAAACTGATGCTGCAGCATTGCTGTAATGGAAGAGAGCCTGTATGTACATAGGTGTACACAGATTTATATCACATTTAGCCAGGATAAATTGCTTCAATAAATTCTGTTCCTAGGAGAAGCCAGCTCAAGCTGATGATTGGGTACTGAGAAAATGAGAGCTTTATTCTTCTTCACACAGCCCCAGGACAAGGGGGTTTTCTGGTGTGTTTGTTTTAAATACATGATGATTTTTCTTTTTTTTTTTTAGCACTTTCTGGAACTATGACATAGGGCAAAAAATAAGGACGAGTAAATAAAAGTAAATAAATACAAAGACCAAGGCCATTATGACTGAAAATGCAGAACATTTCTGGAAAACAATTCATCTCTGGAAAAATTCCTAACTGCTGGGCTGGAGATAATTTCACTTCCTAGACCCCAAACCTGCTTTCTTAATATAATCACAAAATGAGAATTTTATTTCAACAAGGTCCTCTAACAGATTTTCAACCAGGAATAAAACTACAAGGGCTAGAGCAGACATAACATAAGGAACCAGGCAAGGTTCCTTACTTTTGCCTTGGTTCTGTTATTTGAGGCTAAATTTTCTGTCTTCTGCCTACAAGAGGAAAAGGGTGCTTGCTGGCTGAGGAGGTAGGGCAGCGCTGGCACAGAATGGGACTGAATAAACTCTGCAACAATTTCCCTCAAACCACAAAATTCAAAATTTAACTTGATTTTCTTGGTTTTGTACAATCACATCACACTATATGGCTTCCAAATTTTATTTAACTGCATCCTTACTAGGAAATAGAAATGAAAAATCATGACTTTCTAAAAGAGAACAAAAGGCAAATACCAAGTTGAGGGAAAAGTATTAAATGTAACAGAAGCAAGCATTTTCATTGCTCTTAAAATACTGAAATCGGACAATCACTAACTGGGATTTCCTGCTTCCTTCCCACTTTACTGGCTTTTGTTTTGCCATCTTCACCAAAAGAAGGATCACAATGGGAGGAAGAAGGCCCTCTTTCCTAAATGCCCACAATTATTCTTAAATCATTCCTCAGTCTCTTGCTCTTTTTCATTTCCATTATTCTTGTTTTTTTACTTCAAAGTGATTTGTCTTTTAAAAAAATATTTAGCAACAACAACAAAGATCTGTTCTCCCTCTTAAAAAAAAAAGTATAGGGGTGCCTGCGTGGCTCAGTCGGTTGAGGGTCTGACTTCGGCTCAGGTCATGATTTTGGCGGTTCATGGGATTGAACCCCGTGTTGGGCTCTGTGCTGACAGCTCAGAGCCTGGAGCCTGCCTCAGATTCTGTGTTTCCTTCTCTCTCTGCCCCTCCCCCGCGCTCGTGCGCGCGTGTGCGCGCGCGCGCGCGCTCTCTCTCTCTCTCTCTCTCAAAAACAATAAACATTAAAAAAAAAATCCAGCTTACATCTTTTTAATTCCCAGTCTGCTGCATCAATCGCTACATATTGAAAATGCGTTGCTTATTTCTATTTGATACTTAAATCTCACATGAGAGTTCAAACTGATGCCTTCTCAAAAGTGAAAAACAACACATTTCTTTAGTATAAACAGACTGAGACGAAGGTGAAATCTTGAATAATGATGCTGCCATTCACTAGAATTTAACTCATGGCCCTTTTGTAACTGTACTACTTGACAAGCAGATCACGTGTCTGGGCATGACACTCAAGTCTGCTGTCTGCTCCTTGATCTATTCCTCAGGATGCAACGCAAACATTTTATAGAACTAACCAATAAATGAAAGGCGAAGGATACATGTATTTAGAGGCACTTCCAAGAGGAAGTGAGATGCTTTCAGAGGACATCACAGTACAGGAAAGCAAAGATGCTGAAAAAGGCTATCCTAGAGGCCAAGTCTGCAAAAGGAAAAGGTTCATGTACTAGAGTCACAAGAATGCATACATGATAAAAATGACTATTTACTCAAAAGACAAAGTTATCTGAATGCTGGGAGAGAAGTGAGGAAACTCCAAAGTTCAGAGACTGATTTTTATTAACTGGGATAATTTAATAAAATCTATGTTAAATAGTTTTGATAGAATCAGAAGTATATCCTAAAATGATCAATGCGCAAATAAAGAAAACTGATTCTCTATGTGTGTGTGTATATATACATATATATAGGCATATCTATCTTTTTTTCTTCTTTTTTAATAGAATGAGGGTGGAATCTGTCACAGAGGACTACAAAGTTAGTTCTCTGGACTCAGGTGTAATGTGATTATTTCTTTAGTAACCAACTGCTGTTCATAAAATGGCCCAACTTTAGTAAGGAATAAAAGCCATGTACAAACACACCAAGGCCCTGTTCTTAGGTTCCTAATAACAAAAAGCAGATACTGCGAAGTATACAAAATGAGAACATACTAATATCAAAGAACATTAATATCAAAAATTCATGAAAATCTAGAAAAGGTTCAGACTAGCTATCATTCATTCATTCAAAAAAACACTACTTAGGAACTACTAAGTGCCAGGCAAAGTGGACATAAAAAGAAAAAAACATGGGCACCTGGGTGGCTCAGTCAGTTGCGCATCAACTTTGGCCCCGGTCCTGATCTCACAGATGGTAGGTTCACATTGCACATTGGGCTGACTGCTATCAGCACAGAACCCACTTAGGATCTTCAGTGCCCCTCTCTCTGCCCCTCCTATTTGCACTCTCTCTCTCTCTCGAAAATAAACATTTTTGGGGGTGCCTGGGTGGCTCAGTAGGTTAAGCGTCCGACTTCGGCTCAGGTCATGATCTCACGGTTCATGGGTTCGAGCCCCATGTCGGGCTCTGTGCTGACAGCTAGCTCAGGGCCTGGAGCCGGCTTTGGATTCTGTGTCTCCCTCTCTCTCTGACCCTTCCCTGCTCACACTGTCTCTATCTCTCTCTCAAAAATAAATAAAACATTTAAAAAAACCCACATTTTTAAAAAAGGCAATAATCCTTTGCAAAAAGAAAAAAGAATCTTTCACTCATCTGTGTCAAAGAAAAACTAGAGCTGAACAGCGGTTAAAGCAGTTAAAAAAAAAAAGATTTTATTCAGAACTATTATAATTGGGGAAAAGAGACCTCAGTGCAGAACCGGGCTCAATTCTAACTACATCATGGGCAAGTCGAAATTTATAGCCAAGAACAATGGTAGGGGTTAAATGGACAGAAAATTACTAAAAGGCAATTATCAGGACAAAGGGGGATTCTGGCTAAACTGACCTAGTAAGATTTTTTTAAACGTTTATTTTTGAGTGGGGGAGGGGCAGAAAAAGAGGGGGACGGGATATGAAGCGGCTTTGTGAAGACAGCAAAGGGGCTCAAACTCACAAACCAGTGAGATCATGACCTAAGGCAAAGTTGGAAGCTTAACCAACTGAGCCACCCAGGGCCCCAAATTCTTGCTAAAGACAGGTCAGAATTATCACATA